AGAGAGGGGGAGGAGAGATGTCTTGTCTGCGACAAAGAGGCGAGGAGAGGAAAAGAGAGGAGAGGATGAGTGTTTTACTTAACTTAAACTAACAGAATGCACACTTATGGAGCTGAAGAATCCTCGCATGCTTGAGCCATTTACACGATTCGGGGACGTGTGGCACATCCTCCGAATGCACGAACGGCACCCTGACTAACGATACCCGGACTGAAGCCAAACTCCTTCCTTGGTACGTAAAGCGGCAGAGAATATGCAATTATGCACATTGTATTGGGCAAAGGAGTCCGGTTTCTGATTTAAATCCGGTGCAACCTTCTGCCCAAGTCTATTTACTTTTCTGTTTTGATAAGACGAACCCAATGTATATATTTTTTGGTGTGTATATCAGTGTTTTCAATTCATCATTGACTTAGCGGGTGTTCGGCCATGATTTTGGGTCTGATTCTAGTAAAACATAGTAATTGATCCTGGAAGTTGGACCATTGACCCGTTTGACCTAGTGACCAATTTACAAGTTGTATACTAAATGTGTATGTAAATTTTGGAAGGCCATAAATTTGCACTCCAATGTTCAATTGAAGTGATCTTTTTTTTTATTTTGGGTTGAGATTTATGCATTCAAAGGAGTCATGGACGTCTTGCCCCGTTATTTTTGTGAAAAAAAAAACTTTAACCTTAAATTACAATTTTTAATATTTTTATAAATAAAAAAAATTAAAACATAATTCAAATATAAAATAATATATATTATATAATATAATTCGACATTATTTATTACAAAAATATGTGTTTATACACATATATAGATGTGTATGCATACGTGTATGTATGTATGTATGTATGAATCTATGTATGTATGTATGAATAGAGTAATGAAGTGGCATTATCTGACCCAGGTCAGGTTGAACCRGTGACCCACAACCCAAATGCAAAAATGATTCATCCTCCGAGTAAGTTTTTAAAACATTGTTGTATATGAGAACATTGATCATTGAAAAAACTAAATAATTAAGTAGGTGCTTAGAGTCGGGTTCTCTTATAGCTACAAGCCCTGATGAAATTATAGCAATGCAACGATTTGCAGAGTTGTGATTTATGAAGAGATTAGCTAACAACAACCTGTTATTCCCTCTTATCAAATGCAAACTCAAAAGATTATTAAGGAACTGAAGAAAGAAAGAAAAAAATCGAGTTCTGGTAGACAGGCAAAAATGGAAATAGCCCAATGCCCACAATTCCCTGGGAGGAACATAATCAAACCAAAAGATGAAAGAGGCTTGGGATTTGGAATGATATACTCATGCGCTTCAGTTGAAATACTAGTGAAAATTAATTTTAAATGCCAAGAAAAGCATATGGGCCTAAGCGATAATGGCAAAATTAATATTTGAAAAATAAAAGCTTCTATACAGAAAAGCTCATTAATAATACTCTTCATGGTGGAAACAACTAATGAAAATGAAAGTAGAGGTTAAAAATGACTTTCATAGGAAGGTTAAAACCAGAGATGACATCTATGTTTTTCAAGACCCTTGGGTTTCAACAATTCCTAATGGTCTGTTAAATGGCAAACCAGGCATCAAGGAGAGATCAAAAGTTGAAAGTAAATGAGATTTTTGACCAACAAGAGAAAATAAGTAATTTTAAAGGTGGTATTTAGTAAGAGAGAAATATATGATAGATTACTTTGGAAACCATCTAATGATAGAAATTATTCTGTTAAATCATCCTACAGGCAGAACAATTGACCATGCCAATTGCATTAAATTGGCCTCTAAATTTTGTTCTCAAACAAGTCCAAATCTTCACAAATTCTGATACTCTAGTCTCTCAAGTATCCAACAAAAGCAAAAGCAGAAGATGGTTGGAATAGGCATTGATTGAAGAAATTGAGTTGTTAGTTGTAAAATAACCTATATTGAAAGAAGGCGCAATATCATAGCCCACACAATAGTAGGAAAATTTAGGCATCAAGGCGATATAGAATATTTTAAAACTCCACCAACCTGGTTATGGGAGCACTTCTCCGGCCCTAGCTTAGCATGGAGATGTATTTTAATTTCTTCTTAATGAATCCTTTTTCAGTTTTTGACATAAAATAAAAAACAACAACCACCTGCCAAATAATGCAAATTTGCAAATATTCAGGGCCTTTACCTAACGGTTGGGTTGTTYCATTGCGACTTAGGTGACCAAGGTTTAAATCTTAGAAACTACCTCTATTCCCGGACCCTGCATTGGCAAGTGCCTCATGCACTGGCTTCCCTACAAACTTGCTTTTATCACCACTATCAACCATTAACCGAAGCTGTCCATATAAACAATTAAGTATTTTAAATTACACAGACTTCACCTGTATTATGGGGTTTGTGACAAAGACCCATTTGTATTTTGTTTCGCGATAAAAACCCTCTTGTACTATGACCGTGAAACAAAGATCCCCTTTCGTTAGCCATTTGCCTAAAAAGACCGTTATAATATTTTTTAATCTCTATACTACCCTTATAAATATTGTTCATCTTTCCTGACCTTCCTTTACATTTCTCTCTCTCTCCCTCTCTCTACTCTCTCTCTTTCTTTTTCCCCATCTCTCTTTTTCATCCTYCTCTGCCAATCGGTGGGGATATCAGGCCCTCGAGCTGCAACAAACATCATAATATAACGATCAGTATTGATTAGATATATAATCTCTTGTAGAGAGTCAGAGAACCTTCTCCTCCCCCTTTCAGTTGGGAAGGGAACCATCTACAGGCCATGGAGGAAGGCGGCAAGACTCCCTTTAGACATGAAATCAAAGACTATAAGCTTTTCTCCTTTGGGTCCCAAATAATATATATGCCCTCAGTGCTAAGAGATTGGGGTGACGAATCTTGCCCAGGGTGTTAACCTCGACCTCAACCTCTTTACCGCTGTTTGAACGGTGCAAGGAAGTACAGCCCTCGGATTGAAGATGAAGAAAAGTGACACCGTTACAGAGTCTGTGTCTTGTCAATCTTCTACTCCTTATTAATTCTTATATATTTACAGAGGAAAAAACAAAAAGAARAAAAATTCCTTCAACGTGTCTTATAACAAAGTTTGGAAAATTTCAGATAACCATCTTAAAAAAGGGGGATGGGACGAGGGAGGGGGGAAATACGAAGCTTGCGTTGCACCAACTCTCCACTTTATTCTTCCATTCCATGGTACCCACCTCAACCGTCTCTCTTTTCATTTTTCCTTTATTGGATACTCTTCTTCCACTATTTCTAACCCTTCATCTCTTCTTTCTCTCTGAGCATTATTCCGACAACTTGTTGATGGCCCTTTCAGAGCTCCAGCTCCCTGCGTAGCAATGGCCACTATTTGTTCCTTCTTTAACCAATTCGTCGCTCTGGTTCTCCTTTTTGTCCATTTGGGTTGCTTCATTTTCACCACCGCAGACGGTCCCTCATCGAAAAAGCGAAAGGAGGAGATTTTCATCACCAGTCAATACTAATCGTTATATTATGATGTATGTTGTAGCTCGAGGGAGAGAGAGCAGAGAGAGGGAGAGAGAAAGAAATGTGAMGGAAAGTCAGAGAAGATGAACAGTATTTATAAGGATAGTATAGGGATTAAAAAATATTGTAATGGTCTTTTTGGACGAAAGGCTAACGGAAGGATGTATTTGTCTTATGATCATAATAGAGGGAAGTCTTTGTCGCAAAACAAAGTATAAGGGGTCTTTATCACAGACCCCAAAGTACAGGGGGTCTTTATAATTTATCCTATTTTAAATGAACAAATTGACCCTGAGATTTTCTGGTGACAAAATTACCCCTAATCACCTAGATCCCTTTCTTATTTCATTTCAAACTCATTGAACACAAGAAAAGGATCCGATCCCCTTTCTTATTTCATTTCCAACTTACCTTTATCACCATTATCGACCATTAACCAAAGCTGCCCACATAGACAATCAAGTAATTTATCTAATGACATACTCAAAGCCTTGTCTTTGTCTAATGCTATGAACAGATATTATAAGAACAAAGAAGACTTGTCCAGAGTATTCTACTCCAATATTACTGTCTGACCATTTTTGTCATGGGTTGGGCTCAAGGGTACTTAGGCCGGTTCCCATTAGTCTTCGTATCAGTGTAGCAACTTCCATACATTTGCCACTTTTACAACAAGCCCACATGCTATTGTCCAAACATTTGGTCTTGAGTGTAGGTCGCATCGTACCTTGCACACCACATCACAATCTAAGAGTGCACAATTCTATTATTCCCCTCTAGGAAAAAAAACTTGGTTAAGATGAGCCCAGATCTCCAGCAAACAAAAACTTTGCTCACATAGCAATCAGCCACACATTAAGAATGTCTTCCTTACATATATTAAATTCATAAAGAGATGTTTCCAATAAGGTTTTTAAAATCGGACTGGACAAAGACCCATTCTAAGGTCCGGTTCTCAGGTCATATGGTCCAACCGTTTGGACCAAACAGATGACCTACTCTGACAAAAAGTAAAAAACATTTAAAATTTAAAAACAAAAAACAAAAAATAACCAAAAATTGTTATCCAAATCGACAGTTCAACCACTCGGCACTATGATCAGCTCGGCAACTAATAAGCAACTCGGCAATTAATAGGCAACTCAGCTACTAATAAGCAGCTCGACACTCTGGTCAACTCGTCACCTAACCTGCCTAACTCGGCCCAATCAACTCGTCACCTAACCTGCCTATCTCAGCCCAGTCAGTTCGGCATCTACCCTGCCCAACTCGGTCCAATTAATTTGACACCTAATTTGCCCCTAGGTCGGCCTAATCAACTCAGCAACCAAGTCCTCATCCAACAAAAATTCACTTCGACCTCTAAGTCATCAGCCACTTGAAAACAGACCCAATAACGAAGTACTTTTGATACATGACCATACCATCTGCACTCGATAAATTTGCATATTACCATCAGAGGTGGAATTAACCTAACACGTTTGATGCTTTGACTTTCGACAAGAAACAAGATGGTGGTATTAATAGAATGATTGAATTAACTCCCACAGCTATAGCCACAATGAGAATCACGACTCATCTCGTCCACTCATCAAAAATTAACATCATGCGTCTTGCAAGCTTAAAACTGTTAAAACATAAAAAAATAAGTGACTACAAACAGTAACAACTGAAAAACAAAAGTTCTGACTACTGACAGACCAAAATGAACAAATATCCGGAGTTTCCTCTAGAAAACAAGCTCATGGGGCTTCATGCCGGCCTTGAGAGAGAACCTAGCAGCCAAGTACGCCTTCAAGTCAGGGACTGCTTCAACAGCCTTTATCAACGGGGCATCAACTGTCTTCTGGTCATCTTTTTTCTCCTGCGGAAGTGCCTTCTTTTCCTAGATTTGGAAACAAGAGATGGAAGTAAGTAAAATCAACGACTACAACCAATCATTCAGAATGGCACACAAGAACTATTAAGTGGGAACTGACCTCCTTATCTGCTTCAAAGAACTCGCCCTCTCCCTTCTTCTTCTTCTTTTCAGCTTCCTTTGTAAAATACTTGTCATCGAACTTCTCAACATTTACACCAGAAATATCAACCTTGGTGGAAGTTGCAATCACATAAGATTGGTTCACTCGCCTTAGAGGAACACCGTTAACCTTGAAGGGTCCTGCAACAGGACAAACAAACGTGAATGACCAAAATTGAAATTGACAACAATTCATTTCTATTTAGAACCATATACACAAATCCAACAACGCAAATCTACAAGACAATTCCCACAGGCATCCCACCCGCAAAAAATAAGGTTCCAAAAAAGCTGGAAACCATTCAGCAACACAAGAAGCTTGGGAGTTCATTTCATCATTTGGTAGCCTGCTGAAATGGCTGGATAAGATGCCGGTTGGTTTGCCACATACTGATTAAAATAGTGATAAAACAACCATTCAACGGTTAAGGAACTTGTATCCTATTTAATTATTCACTAGAAGACAAACCAATAAACAATTCAGTTAAGCCTATTAAGCAATTATCATATGGCACCATAGTTGAGCAATACCAGTGTTTTAAAAGCGCAAGGCGCAAAAAAAGCACAAGGGCCAATTTGCGCCTGAGGCGCAAGGCGCAAGGAGAGGTGCACGCCATTTTAAGAAATGCGCAAAATTACAAAAAAAAAGCTAAAAATAAAAAAGTCATAAAATGCCAAAAAATTTTAAAAAAATGCAAAAAAAATAAAAATATTAAACATAATGTTAATAAAAATATAAAATTAAATTTTAAAATAAATTATTTAAAAGACCTATTATCTAAAATTAAAATAGATAAACATAACATGTAAAGTGTATTCAAATGAAAATTTAAAAATAAAAGCAAACATATAAAGCAATTTCAAGCATGTAAAACCCACAATCTCTTTTTTTCCTTAATTGCATTGCTTCAAGTAGTTAATGTGATATAAAACATATTGCATTTTTTATTCTATGAGCCTTTGTAGGATGCCCCTCGAGGCAAACCCGAACAAGTCTATGTAGGATCTGAACTTCTTATTTCTCACATAAAAAATAATGATTTTACAACTTCCATTGCCTTTTATGAAGATATTTTACCAAAGCAGAGAGAACCCCCTATTTGCTGATGTTGTTTATCCATTCATTGCAATAAAATATCTTCTTAAAAGGCATTATTTTTTGTGAGAAATAAGAATTTCAGACCCTAACATAGACTTGTTCGGGCTTGCCTCGAGGGGCGTGGCTGGGAGTTCGGGGGTGAAGCCCCCGGCCCATCTGTTAGATTCAAAAAAAGCAAAAAAACGCAAAATTTTAAAAAGGGGCACCAGGCACGCGCCTTTTGTAAGAGGTGCATCTGGGACTGGGCGAGACGCATACCCAAAATGCACCTCGCTTGTGCGCCTAGGCGCACCTAAATCACTGAGCAATTCAACCACATGTTTTCAAATAAGAAAGTTGCAGCAACCAAAATACCAAATCCAATTTAGCTTAAAGACAAAACACAAGTTTTATTGAACATAAAATCAACACACTGCAAGCAATATATGTCTATTTGCTATATAATATATGCTTAGTACCGTGGTTGTTTGCCAATGGAACAATGCCACATAAGCACCATGTAGGCATTGACTTTCCCAAAGGAACACTGGCACATTTCATTTACATGCATAAACAACAATAAAAATGTGACCCATATGTGAAAAACCTGACCACTTCACCAATTTCCAAGACTAGACTCAAGTACAAATAATGCCACTTCTACCGTACCAAACACTGCCATAAAGGGGAGGAGACAATGGGATTCTCTTACCACAATGTCTAATTCATTATATAAATGTTTCATCACTTCATTATCCCTAAGGCTGCATTTGGTTTGACAGGGAAAAAACAGAAAGCTTTCTTTATCAGTGAAAGAAACAGAAAATTGAGGGGAAGTTATTAATAAATTGCACAAAATTTATTCTCTTTTACTTTCTATCACCCTAGTTCCATTTTTGAAGACTTCACTTATCTCTCCTTCTAAAGGTTTTTTATCAGCATGCCACCCCTTGTCAGACATTTCCCCCATAACGTTTTTTTTATAATTGACATTTCCCCATAACATTGAACTCCTAAAATGGAACCAGCATCACCTTATCGTGTGATTTTAATATCAAATCTAGGGTGGCCACAAGCTAAGCTTTTCACAAGCTGTTCAAGCTTGGCTTGTGAAAAGCTCAGCTCAGCTCAGTCTAAACCAAGCTCCAAGCCGAACTCAAGCCTTAGGCTCATTTGCTAATCAAGCCAAGCTCGAGCCTAGTAAAGCTCAGCCCGTGAGACTCACGAGCCTAATCAAGCTTTTACATATATATATATATATATGTATATATGTACATAGGGTGTAACCTCAGCTCGACTCCTCAGCTGCTGAAAGAAACCTCAGCTCGGCACCTTGGTAGCTGAGGGAGACCTTGGGTCGGCACCTCAGAAGCTGAAGGAGCCCGGAAATCAGAGGCAGCTGAACTCGAACTTCCTAACTTTTGATTTGAGTCAAGCTCAAGTCTCTAGCTCAAATCAAACTCGAGCCTGAAAGTTTATTAGTGTGCTGAGCTTAAATAGGCAGATATTTGGCTCGGCTCAGCTCGGCTGGAATCCGCCCCTAATCAAATCTACACATGTCCATGATTTTAATTTATTGTGTAACAAATTTTACCTGAATTACAATAAATTATTTTTCCTTAAATTTTTCCATAGGAACTGTGACAAAAAATTGGTTCATGGATCGAGGTTAGTATTGCAGGCTGAATACCCAAAACTGATCAATAAGAACAGTCAGTTAATATCCATTTCCAATGTGAAGAGGATGATGGACTGGTTCAACTCATCAGTCACAAGGCTTCTCAGGTGGGCCTGGCAGTTATCATTACCCTCTAAATGCCTACCAATTAATACCCAATACTCCCCACTTTCATGGCTTTTATGATTCAATTAGATAACGAAGACAACAAAAGGACCTGACATGAAGGTATTTGTCTACAAGAGAGTGCAAAAAATGTCAAATTTAATCTGTTCTTGGAATTCAGGGCATCTCCAGAGCAGTTTACTATAATACATTATGTATATACGAATGCATTTGTGTGTGCAATAAGTGCATGCATATACAAGCATGGTTAGAATGATGCCTCTAACAGGATCATAAGCAGGATTTCACAAGTAAAAAATCAATGTTCTAAACTCCAATGTATCGCCCTGCCCCAGTGATTGGATTACTACCTATAAGACCTAGATAGTGATTCAGAAGCAGGTGGGCCTAAAAAAGCATGAATTGATCCTTTGCATATAATGCTTTGTACAGTTCTGAACTTAACAAAATAAAGGAAATACCAGTCGGTGGCATAACATCAAATTTCCAAGAATAAATAACGCATCAGTAGAATGAAACAGAATGATGATAAGACAAAGTGATGAATATGGAACAAACAAGTCAATATACAATGAGTTGTTGAAGGTCTTTTTATTTGGAGTTTCAGGGCCAAAATTGATTTAGGAATTGCTTATGATGCGTGAATTATGACTATCTACATTGAGGTGATGATTGCCAGAAAAAAAAGATACTATATTCATACTGAACGCTCGATAATTTAAGGAAATATAAAATCTTGCTCAACAACTATTTCAATATTTAGTTTCTGAAGAAATAAAACAAATCTCTACATTGTTAAAAAGCTTTCAATGATACAACGGGTAATTATAGTAAGTTAAGATCCATATGCAAACAACTACTATTAGTACGGGTAATTTTAGAAATGCAGCCAACTACTATCATTGACTTTTGAAAGTAGCTGGCTTCATTCTAGCATTCTAGCTAAACAAGCTAACTAGTCTAAAAACAAATGTCATTTCGGATGTGCTAGCACATATCTTATTTCAGAGAAAAAGCAAAGTCGTCTAAAACAAAATTTGATCAAGACGTGATTATAAGTGCCCAGATAAAGCAGCAGCAGTTGCTCACCAGTAACAAGCAGTAGGCCAGATGGAAGTTGTTTCAGAAAAACAACTCTTTTCCCCTTAAATCTCCCGGCAAGGATAATCAAAACCGTCCCAGGAGTAATACTTGCCCTTAGTTTATCAAATTTTGAAAAAAAAATGAAATCAGATTTAGTAAAAGCAAAAACAAAACGATTACAGATTACAGACATATGGAAATGGAAATCAGAGAAATAACCTGAGCTTGGTGGGTTTTGGCTTGCGCTTGTTGATCAAGGGCTTCTTAACGTCATCGGCGGGATAGAACTTCGGCGGCTTCTCGACCGGTTTGGCTTCCGCCGGTTTGGGATCGTGCCGGGGGAAAGCGCCACCATTCTTAGCCTTGATAGCCCAAAGACCGCGCTTGTGGTACATCTGCGACCTCGAATACTTGCCCACACCACGTATCAGATCTGGGTTTCTCGAAACCCTGGGCTTTCTCTCTTTTGGCGCCATTGATGAAGATGGAGAGACTGTCCGCTACTCTTCTCCCTCTCTCTCAGTCCACAAACCCTAGAGAAAAAATGGCGATTTGTGAAGGAGATAAAACCCCACAACCCTAATGCCTTTATAAAGAGGCCCGGGTCTCCTGCAAGCAAAACTGCACACAAAGAATCCAGATGTACATTGCGAATATCTCCGTTAAATTCATGGGAAGATGTTCCCAATGTGCGGCTGAATTATAATACATCCAGGGTGTCTAGTAGAGTTTTTGCTTGCAAGAGATACAATGGATATATTAAGATTTTAGAACCGTGTCAAAACCGTTGGATTAGAATTTACTATGGACAACTCAACCAAGACGAAACCTGATCTTGTTTCAGATATTCTTTGACAATTGATTATAGTCTATAAATACAAAATCCCAATCCGGGTTGGGCCGTTGCCTTTGGGCGATCATGGTTCGGTTCGGTCCAGAAATTGGAACCTAAAACCTACTTTTGAAACAGGAGGGGTCTTTCTAATTTACCCTTTTTTTTACTCTGTTTTATCAACCTAACATTGGGCCAGGATTATAACCACATATCATTTGCCTCCATATTGTTTTGTTTGCACTCTTTTTCCATCTTTCTTCATTAGAGGTACTCATTCGGTCGATTTGGTCTGGTTCAGTTTAAAACCAACATTTTGATTATGCCACTTTAATGAATCAAATAGAACCAGATTAGACTTAAAAAATGAACTGAACCGAATTGAATTCAAATCGATTTGTGTGGGGTCAGTTGCAACAATTTGGAACCAAACTTTACTTAGTAACAAATTGAGTAAACTCAGTTCAATATTGGTTCAATTTAGGCTTCATCCAGTTCTAAACAAAACCTACACATTTACTCATCCCTAAATGCCACATGTTGCCCAAATAATAGAACAGTTGTTCTTTTCACCATTTTCTAACTTGAAATCAATATATCAAAAATTCTCTTTACATTTCATAACATAAAATAAAACAAAATGAGTGTTTAAAATAAAAATTAGGGGAGTTGTTACATTGCAGGACTGTTGACCATCATAGTGTCACTTAGATAATTTCACGCAATCACACTGCCTCTTTTCGTCCTTCATCAATGATCAAAATTTACATTCCAAATTTGCCCTTTTAAATATATTATACACCTAAAATCTATAGCATGCAATATATCTAAAAATGCTCCACTTTTTTGGTAAATTACAAAGACCCCCTATACTATGGGGTMTATGACAAATACTCCCCCCCTATGCTTTCAATTGTGATAAAGACCCCTTGAACTTTTGCTTTGCAACAAATACTCCCTCCTTAGAGTTATGTCAATTAATTTTCAAAAATATTCTCATTCAGCTGKTTAAAATGATTTAAATCCCTACACTACCCTATTTTATTTATTCGGACGATTTATGATTCGATTAATTTTCTAAATATAATATTGAAAACCTTTTGGTTGTTCTAATAGATCCCCGCAATTTTATAGCTATATTGAATATTTAGATGAAATGGTTGAGGTTTCTTTGTAATAGATATAAATTTAAGGCTTTGTTTGGTTTTATATTTTATGATGAAGAGAGGCATTCATGTCAATGAAAAGAAACAAGAATTTAAATAAACATATGTTTTCTATGTCAATAAAATGATTCTTGTTATTTTAGTTGGTTTTATTTGGAAAACAAAATGGAGGTATTTTGGGCCAATTAGAGTCTAACTTCTAAGAGACAAGAAAAATAAAATAAGAAAATTTTAAATGGGTAATTTGGTAATTTAATGCATTCGGTCATCTAACTTATAGCCAAGGGTCTTTGTTGCAAAGTGAAAATTTAGGAGGTCTTTGTCGCAAATGAAAATTTATGAGGTAATTGTCACTGACCCCATGGTATAAGGGGTCTTTCTAATTTACCTTTTTTTTTCCTTCTGTTTTATCAACCTAACATTGGGCCAAAGAGGATTAGAACCACCTATCATATGCCTCCATATTGTTTTACTTGCACTCTTTTTTTTCATCTCTCTCCATTAGGGATGTTCATTCGGTCGGTTCAGTTTAGTTTTAAATTGGCTAATTCGATTAGCTAAAATATAAATGCATGTTATTTTATATTAATAATTATCTATCAATATTTACAATTAAACATATATTAGTAATATATATATATATTAATGTTAACATTAATATATATATAATTAAAATATAAATATAGGTATTTATTTTAGTTAATTCAGTTTTGTTGGATTTTTTCTCAAACCAAAGTAACTAAATCGAATTATCTTATTTGGTTTGGCTGAATTTGAACACCCATACTCTTCATATCATTACACGTAGAGCCCTCTCCATTTCTCCAAGCACTTGCCAATAGAATGTGTTGTCAGCATCTGCTCCATCAAATAACTAGCTTTGATAAGAGATGGAGAGGAACATGATCTAGGGTTTTCGAGATTTTCCAAACAAAAAGAAAATGAAACTCTTGCCTAACTCTTTAGTGTTCAAGGTTGGGGAGCCCACATTGCTACCAACTCTCTGCCCATATATGTCTTACCCGCTGCCTCATCTGGTTTATGGAGAGAATGCAGTGAAATGGTGTGCAAATGGGAAGCAAGGAGTTTTAAACATAGGTTGCTAAACAAAGCCTTTTTATTGTTTGGGTCTCCCTTCTCATRTACTTGAAACAAATCCATTCAAAATTCACAAATGGGACCTTAATCCTGTCCAAAATTGACCAACAAAACCGTACGTACCAAAGCATAGCCTTTTTCTCCATCCATTGAGAGTTAATATAGCCAACAAAGAGTCCAATTATATCAATAAACAACTTTACATCATTCCATTTTTATACGTGTGTTCTTTTGCATCTCAAAAGTGATTACTCCTACCCTCAAAATAAAGCTTAATTCTTCAAAACATTATAATGTAAGATAAAGCTTATTATTTTGAAGTATAATTTGATTTAATCCATTAAATTAAGTAACAAATCAATTAAATTAAGATCCATATTGTGCAGGTTTTTTTTTATTCTCTTATTACCTCTGTTCCTTGCTTCTCTAGATCTGTCTTCTCCTTTTCACGCCTCACTCCCGTCCATTCCTTTTTACCCTTTCATTTGTTTCTTCCTGGTAGTGGAGTTTTCTATTTTATCACTCATGGTGGAGGACGATATTTTACGAGATCTATCACATTGACTCCTGTCGAAAGGTAAAAATATTGTGGAAGCATGAGACAACGATGCTCTGCCAAATGAATCTTGGAGGCATTCCTTAATCTTCAACGTCTTATCGGGTTGAAAGAAATTATCTCTAAGCTTCGAAGCTGGAGAATAATGAATAATGCAATCTTGGATTTTACAACAAACATGTTCAGGGAAAATTTTCTCAGTAGCTTTGAAAAGGACCAAGTGGTGGATCATGGGCCCTGGATTTTTGATGATGATCTTGTGGTTTTGCATAACGGTGAAGCTGACAAGTGCCCAAGTGATTATGTCTACGATCATGCAGATTTGGGGATTCAAATATGGGGTTTACCAGTGGAGTATTTGAATGCTAAACGTATTGCTTCAAAGTTGGGTAAACCCTATAAACCTTCACGTAAATGGAGTAAATATGCCTGTGCTCAAGTTTCTATTGACATCACTGAAGCACATGCCTAGGTAGGCAAGTCCCTTATAAGCTAAAAGAGTGGTTAAACCATTCAGGTTCGTATGCTTTATGAGATTGCCTAGATACTATGTGTTCTGCACAAGGATCCACCATGAAATATATATCTAATTGCAAAGTGAAGCATAGACTTCAGATCTCCATTGAGGAGTAGACCTGTTCATGGGTCGGGTGGCCCGACGGGCCGGCCCGGCCCGGCCTGACTCCTGGACGGGCTTGAACATGCTTATAGGCCTGCGGGCTTAAATTCGGGCCAAAAAGCCCGGCCCGCAATAAATTCAAGCCGGGCTCGGGTTTTGTCAAAATAGCCCGGCCCGACCCGACCTAATATTAAACTTAAAATTAATTAGGTGATTATGTCCATTTGAATAATTTTTTTTATTTAAGAATGTAAATTTGTGTTTTAAAATATAAAAGAAAAGGAAAAATACCATCTTATAGGCCCATTGTTCATTTAAATAGAAAAAAAATACTGTCTGAATTTTTAATTCTAATTTGAATAGGAAATTTTTTTTTTTTTTCAATTAGGTCGGGCTTCGGGCTCGGGCTCGGGTTTCGGGCTTTTTATCAGGGCCGGGCTCGGGCCCAAGTTATAGGCCCGTTGGTCGGGCCGGTTTCGGGCTCGGGCCTAATATATTTTCATTAGTGACAAGTGAAAGCCCGGCCCGTCCCGGCCCATGAACAGGTCTATTGAGGAGTGCACCGAGTCAAGTATTAAGACAAAATTACAAGCATTGCTCTGTGGCCAAATTATAATGGAAAAACGGGCCCCTTAGGTTCAAAAAGGAGCAGCGTCTACCCAGTCAGATCATCAAGCTCCTATCGAACCAATTAATGGTGGTGATGATCTTCTTTGTTCTCCTCCTCCTCTTTAACAGACCACGCAAACTCTGGTGGTGAGGGAACCGAAGAACTTGGCACACCAAACCAAGGTTCAAAGTATCGATACATATTGGCCTGTATCGGTACTTTTTTAAAGGTTTATTTATTTATTTCTGAAACCAGTTCAGAGGGATCGATTTAAGGCCCACGCTACCCTCTGAACCAGTGTTTGACCCAATACAACTTCTGGAGAGACGTATTGACAAGTCATTGGCACGATACGTATTGAATTGGCCAATATGTATTGATACTTTAAACCTTGCATCAAACTTGGAAGGCGAAACTACGCCCAATATGATCGGGGTTGATTCCATCAAACAATGGTGGTTTCATTGACAAGTGTAGAGTAAGTAAACTCAAGGTTAGTAAATGGTACCACTCGAAGTTGCATTTCAAATATCAGATCAAGGAAATTAAATAAAAATTGGAGTTTCTTGTAACTGAAACTTTGGAAGGGGTTCCTTTGGTGAAGGCAATTTTCTTCAGAAGGAACTTGAGGCTTGCTACGACCGTGAAGAATTGTTCTGGAAACAGATGTCAAGGTGTGATTTGCTTT